GTGAGCTTTCTTCAGATGTTCCTGCTGCCACCAGCAGTAAAGAAGACCACGGAAATCTCTAAAATCGCCTCTATTCTGGTATGTTTCTTCAGTGTGTTGTTGGTGCATTTTTAATGTTTGGTAACCACCTAGGGAGCCTCAGCTGTTGGGGAGTATAAAAATGAAATAAATAAATCCCTCCCAAAAGCACTGTGACTGGAAGCAAAAGGATGGCCTCAGGAAATTTATTGCTGCCTATAAACCTAGAATGGTTGATCAAAAAAGTGCCTAGAGGAATGATTCCCCTTGAGTTTGAAAATTGCTTATTTTGGGGGGTGGGGGTTGCTAATTGCTAATGTAGCTTAAGGTTAATTTCTAGATATGAAATCATTCACCTACTTCGACTGAATAGTGTAAGAATGAATTTATCCCTTGGGACATATTTTCCAGACATGTTTAGGGCAGAGGAGAACTATAAGGATATAAGGGCTGCCATTATCAACAAGTGCTTCCTTGAACCAATCTAGCTGTTTCTTTCTATACCATCCAGTAGCTTAAGCTCTCTTGGTGGTTTACAACAATTCATAAAATGCAATAGAATACAAACAATAAAACCATAACACTCAGCATGAATTCTAAGACTAAGCAGAAACTAACTGCATTTAAGTCATCTGTGGAACCTGACAGATTAAATGATATTTGACAAAATTGCAACCTGAAACTTCCTACTTATATAATGACATAAAGACTGTTGAAATCAAAAGTTTATGATAGAAAGCAGGGTTACAAAGAGCAATTGGTATAGGCTTGGTTGCATAATAAGATATTCCAGCACATTTCTTGTTCAAATAAACAATTATCTTGTTCCAAAAAGACAATTATTCCATGGAAACTGAAAACATTATCAGGAACCTGTGGCATTTTCAGACAAGAAGACTTCTTAATGTATTTTTGAAGATACCATGTACATTAATTCCTGCACTCAGGAATCCCAAAAAAATAAGATGCAAACACTGTTGTAAATTTGTTATAATAAAAGCAAAGAGCACTGAATGGGGAGACTGAGAACAATTCACTTTTTAACTCCAAGCATGACTGAATCAAACCTAAAATTTTCTGGGGAGAAGACTTGCTGTCCCCCAGCCTCCGGTTGCAGTCCATTTAATTTGTGATTTAGAACTTAGTGGGGGAATAAGCCTTGGTTATACTGAGATGGGGTACATATTTGCGACTGGGTAACCAGGATGTTGGATGTTGGAAGGAAGATGGCCTCAGTTAAGCAAGGCAACAAATACAGTTACACTGGCATGTGAATAATTCAGTATGAACCAGCAGGTAATTTCATTTACAAGATGTAAAGACAAACGTTATTCATCTGATCTCCAGTTCTAATAAGAGAGACCCATTTCTAGCATAAACTGGGATATCTAAGTTTGAATCCAGATCTTCTGATATTTGTAGATTGAAAATAAAGTAACACAGAGGATGCTCTCGTGCATCCTTCTTCTGAAGGTTTTTTTAAATCCCTTAATACACCCTGTGTGTACATGCATATACTGAAATGGTACATGACTAAAGTCATGTCCTGTGCAAGCTGATGGGTGTGTGCAGCATGCAACTCTCCCTGTGCAGGGGGTAATATAACTGAAAAGAGGATTTGAGAGCATGTTTAACATCCTCTTTTTTTCAACAGATCCCATGTTCCGGAAGACATTCTTTAGCAATGTAAGAATATTGAGTTGTGGAATGCATTTGTGTTGAATATAATATATGGAATATAATAATCTGCCAAATATTGCAGTTAATATGAAGGTGAATAATGGTTTCGAATCTTTACTACTGAGGATTAGCTGCTTCACACATATTTGTACATTAATATAAATAAAAGTGGACATTTTGCACTTTTCAGACTACTGAAGTACCACCATAAAGATGTCCAGACAAATTTAACAATGCTTTGTAAATTCTAGCCCTCTGCCTCTTTTTTGAGCTTACCTTTACAAGTATTAAAGTTAAAATGCAGAGGTTCCTAGACCTTGTGACTATAAATAAATTGAACAAGAGAGCCACTAGATGTTGAATGATCTATGTATATGGTACCAAGTGTTATAATTTTGTTTTTTGTACTCTTGGTATTGCAGTCCACCTACAGACTTAACTAAATAAACTATGATACAAATGTAAGCAAAAGTGAACCATTTTTTCTTAATAAGCAAACTTTAGATTTTTTTTTCTAAATATACACTAGTATGTAAATTATACTAAGTATAAAACCCATTAAGTTCAAAGGGTACTCACAAGTTAGTGGATATAGAATAGCTCTAAAAACTGCACTAACTTTCAGTCCATTTCTCAGTCTCATTCAAAGTGCTGGAATTAACTTTTAAAGCCCTAACAGTTTATGGCTAAGTTACTGGAAATATTGTCTCCTTCCATATATGTTTGCCCAGATCCTAAGATCATCCTGAGCCCTTCCACTGAATGTTCCCACCAATTATGTGAAAAGTTAAGCTGAGCCTTTCATATAATGAGCTTATGTTTTCCCACTCCATTTCTGACACTCTCGCCAGGGGTGAGGAATTGCTTCCTTTCCTAGAGACCAGATTGCTTTCTAGCTTAACCCCTAGAAACTATATTACATTAAAAGGGGACCTTCCTCCTAAAATCCTGGCCAGAGATAAGGCAGTGCTTCTCTATCCCAGCCTTTCCCAGTCTCAGTGCTTCCCAGATGGTTTGGATGACATTCCCACAAACCACAGCCAGTATAGCTAGTAACAGCCAGGAATTTTGGGAGTTGCTATCCAAACCATCTGGAGGGCACAAAATTGATGATGGCTGATTTCTGCTGGCCAATCTGCCGCCCTCTCCCCATTTCCATTCCAGCTTTCAGTACAAAACCGAATCCTAACATTTCCACTATTGCTTAGAACTAGGGGTGTCAAATTTGCAATAGACTCAAATAAATTTAAATTTCTAAGAATACAATCAACAGATTCCACAGAGACCTGGCTTTTGACAAGACAGATTTCACAAAATTTCATGGACTTGAAGATCTTTTTTTTTAAAACCTGTTGTAATTTCACTCAAGTTGTCATAGGAAAAAATGACCAAAATGTGCATTTACTCCATATGCTAATATGTGAAAATGCACATTTTATGGATATTTTACAATGGGGGGATTTGTGCATTTCCAGGTATGAAAATTGGTTTAACTATATATACATGCATTTGTGCCAAATCCAATTTTGCCAATGATCTGCTACTACTAATCAAAGGTCTTTGTGCAACAATTACAACTTACTCCGTTTGTTTTGATGAAGGTAGGATGGCTTTAGGCACTGTAAGAGTTTAATTAAATTTATTTTCACCTCCCATAAAATGTTATGAGACAGGCCATCTAAAACCACCCTTTCAAGAATTTTTAATCTACTAAGTTTTAACTTCCCTTCTGCAGAAGGTATGGGTGGACCTAATACCAACAGCTGATGAGAAACAATTACAGCAAATTCCAAAAACCTTTGAAGTGTTTTCCTAAACCTGATACAGAAATGCTGTTATTTTCTTATTTCCTACTTTGTGTAGAGCATGAGCAAGTCCTGGGACTCAATACAGTGGCCTTCTGATGGAAAAAGCAAGCAGGGAGCAGCTGGAGGAGCGGTGCAGGAGAGTTTTATAAGATGGGGTCTACCTTACCACCATTGTGTCTTGCTGCAATATGCATAGGTCTTTTTAGTTCATAGACTCTGCATGTCAAAGTGATTCCTAGCAGGAAGGCTGTTTTGTGTGTTCCCTGAGGAGGCTGGTAGCTATTGGCTCAAAGGGACATACCATTCATGGGAATACTCACCCGTTAAATCCCATATGGTAAATGGAGCAGAGAAATTATTGTGGAAGAATTCCTTTGATGACCTGCTCACCAGTGGAAGTTGCAAGAAAATTTCCTGTTCTATGGCCAAAAATGCTTCAGACTAGTCATTTCAAAACTGTTAGTGCAGAATCCCTTATGCAACAGCTATCACTTGCCTACACCACATATAAAAGGTAAGATTGAAGGCTGCTTGGGTTCTATTTATTGGCTTCCCTAAATTAAAATAATTAAGAGTCAGCACTCTTGCTGACATTCCAAATTCTTAAAATAAACAGTTCTAGTGGCTTTTTGAAACTCAATGAGAAATCTTCAAAGCACAGTTTGAAGACTGAAGGCTAATGCACCATTTCTTCTATACAGAGCGACACCTGTCAAGTGGGGTTTTTTTTTTTTTTTTTGAATACCTTGGCCCTCTTTTGGAAGACTACTAGAACACTGCACAATTTAACTCACGTTGATAACAAAGCAACCCATTTCTGAGTTGGGCTGTTATATGTTCTCCTTGTATTAAACATATGAAGATTTAGTGTTTCCTTCAGTCATTCTCCACCTTATCATTTACAGAAGCACTACTTTCCTCTGAAGCATGTAGTTTCATTCTGTTCAATTGACAGCGTTAACAGTACAATCAGCAGAACACAACCAAGCTCTTCTTTTCTTGCTTCAAATATGGTTTTACAATCTGCTTCTACTGCCTTTCCTGAGATTGTCTATTATCAGTAACATAACACAATCAATAAATACCAAGCCACTTTATTAGTATTTTGCAAGCTCTGTTTTTCCATATTCAGAGCACAAGCTTTAGGCCCTAGAACAAACCATTTTGCCCACTTTCCATAAAGCTGTAGTTAAGTCTCTTGACTACATTCAAAAGCTCCACCTAAACAGACTTCATTTTTTTTAAAGTCAATGTCTCCAGATAGGAAGATGTCCAGTGATAAAATGCAATGTCAACAGTGCAAGCAGTCAAAGACATTTCACTGCCTGAAGTGGAGCTCAAATGCCAACTTCCGGGCACCTATGGACTTGTTGCACCATCTCTTGGATTTCTTTTCTACATTGCTGGATACTCTCCTCAAAATAGTGTTACCTGAAACCAGGTGCTTCACCTTTGTACATGGTTCGATATCAAGGTAGAACAGTAAATTCAACACAGAGTTAATTTTGTTTTATTGTTTCACTGAATGCCCCAAATTTGAGAACACAAACGCTAGATGTTTAGCTGTGCAAAACAGTACATAATGCTTAAGTACAAGTGGAAAAATATGATTTGTTAAATGAATTCTTCTCAACACATGGTTTTATGGTCCTTTAAGATAGGACTTGAAACTTCTGGCTAATCCCCAGACGTGTGCAGATCAGCTGCCTTGGTCCCAGAACTGCTACCACTACAATAAACACCAAAAGCAGACAACTCTAGTGAACTAAGTTGTCTCTTTTGATGTCTGAATAATGGTACTGAAGTACATCAGTTCACTGAAGGCAGTTTCTAGCCCTACTTAACACATGATCTGGCCCCGATAAATAAGACTGCACAGGATTTTGTTTTGGTCAATGGTCCATAATGGCAAGTTATTCTACATGATCTGTCAACTTAACTTACAATTCTACCAAGTTTTTTTAGATGACTTTCTTTAACTCATCGTACAACACAAGCACAAAAGCACCACCCATGCCTCGAAGAACATTGGACCATGCACCCTTGAAGAAAGCCTTTCCACCCTCATCTCTTGCAATCTTCTTCCAGCAGTCAATTGTTCCAGAGTACATGACTTCAGCTGTGGGTAGAAGATGGTACATATTAAGTATTAAAATTCAAGGACAGCAAGACCATCACAATAAATTGTTCAAAATATGTAAAAGTTGCAGAGATAAAACATTTAGGACTTCAGACTAAGTTGTTCTAATATAACTCTGAAACTACATAACACAAAAAAACTTTTATTCGTGGAAGGAGAAAAAAGAACCAACTTGATTAACTAAGCACATCTTAAAATGCTGCTATGACATTATCTCCAAATCTCGTGACTGCAATAGGGATTAACTATAGAGACAATCTGTTGAATATCAAGATGTTAGCCTCATTAGGAGTAAAATATTAACTATTTAGAATCATGACCATATTTATACAGTATTTAAGGCATATGGTTAATAGCACACTAACAGATTCTCAAGATAAATTAGAAGAAAAAATAAATTTTACCTTCAATGCTCTGGAGACCACAATTAATGTAGATCTGTGTAAATGGGTGTCCAAAGACACCAGCTTATTCCACCCTGTTATTCATTGCATTTTATAGCCTGAGGATGTGGACAAAATGCTGTACACCTGACCTTTACCCCTATCATTGAAAGAGGGTGTGGGACTTAACTATGTTAAAGAAGGGTGTGGTATGACTGCCCTTGATGAAAAAAAAAAAACCTTGTGCTGGAAAATTTAGGACAGCTATCAGCTAGTTGCTAATATCCTGTTTGGGCAAGGTGGTTTCCAGGTACTCTTGGATTAAGCATAATATCTAGACCCATTTCAATATGATTTTAGGTTTGGTTTTGGTAAAGAAGCTGTCTTGATTGCCCTATGTGATAGCCTCTGTCAGGGGAGAGACATCGAATGCTTTAATGGACTGTATGAGGCCTAACAAGCTGAAGTTTAATTCAGATAAGACTGCATGTTAGTTGGTACTGGTCTTCTACATCTATCCAGATGTGTGTTCAGCCTGTTCTGGAGGGAATCAAACACTAAAGAACCAAGTCTGCAGTTTGGAGATGCTCATATATCCAACTTTGTCATCAGAGGCATGTACAGCCTCCTACAAAGTTAATAAATTGCCCTTTCTACATGCTAGTTCTACAAATACATTTGGGATACAACAGGATGTGGGCAAAAGAACAGTCCAGGGACTGAGAAAGCAAACCAGAATTGGCTTGTCTTCCAAATAACAAAACAAAACCAAAAAACACCTCCCCCCCTCTGCAGCTACAAACCTGGGCAGGTCAGCAAGCAGATCAGTACTGTGTACAAACAAGGCCACTCTATTTTCAATGCTACTTAAAAGCCTTTTTCTGTTTTCATCTAAGATTGAAACTTGTTACAGACTTTTAAATCTATTTTAGTTCTTTTATTCTCCACTCTTGGGCTTGAATATGACTTTATGCAGCATTACATTTTACTGTTCTGCCCATGTGACTGATTTTTAACTTGTTTTCCTCTTTAATACAACTGGTAATATTTGTTATATGGCAGTTTATAAACACTGTAAAGAAAGTTAGCTCTCTAAGCATTACTACTGCAACCTGTGTATGATAGACTCAAATGCCTATAGAAATTGCCACATCAAGACTGAAGGTTATGAACTTTCATCCCAACTCTCCTAAACACAGTCCAGTCAAGTCAGTGGGACTAAATGAGCCTAAGCCTTGTATTCTACTTTCTAATGATGCTACAAGATTTTCAACTTACAAGAATTCAAAACCATATACCACTGGAAAGTTATTTAAGTGTTGCTTACTTGCTTTACGCCCAGATTGCATCATCATTCGACGCCGCACTGTGTCAAAGGGGTAGGAGACCACACCAGCTACAGAAGTCACTGTCTGTGCAATCATCCAGCTGACCACAATATGAGTGTTCCTAGGATCTGGGAGCATACCTATGACAAATGAAGAAATGTTAAATGTTTTCTTTTCTGAAATTAGGAACTGCTTTCCATTAAGTAAAGCCTTAACTTTTTTTGTACTTTATAGGAAATTAGTACACTAGTGGAATAACAATTCAAGTAATAGCCTTTTTTAGACCCATCAACTAATTCAACAATTAAAAATGGATGATGTTACCTGTTCTTAACATCCATACCATAATGCTGAAGGTGTCACATGTTTTCCAGCTAACACTTCAGCCAGTTTGTATTTTCAACTCTCCAGGCTGCTTGTAGCAGAAGACCAGTATTTCATTTAGCAATTGCATATTTTGCCTGGGTAGTAGACCCATTTAGGGCACATCACTGAACCCTAATGGATTTCATATATTTCACTGTCAATAGTATTCTTTTAATTGCATTTCTATGTGTGTAATCTCAATTCCTCTAGATCTTAGTAAATTCCTCTAGATTTTAGTAAAGTCTTAGATGCATGTTTCATAAACCCCTCACTTTCAGTCGCATGCAATATGTAGGACTAATTCACAAGGTGTATTTCCAGGTTTAATTAAAAACAATCTAAAATATTCAAAGACCAATTTCAAAAATTCATCTCAACAACATATGAGACTACAGCAGTTATTTTAAATTATTTATCTGCCCCAAATCATTCAATTGCCTTGTTACCTTTTTCATTATTCTTGCTATCATATTAAGTATGAACTTTCCAGATACTACAAGTTTTCCTTTTATAGAAATACCTTATTTCTCTCCCGATAGTTTTCTTCCCTGTTGTTTCTCTCATAACCCTCTTCACCTCATACTTTCCAGACACCACTAAGAAAAGGGTGCAGAACTAGCTTCTGCCAATTAGTTGTAAGTTTCTAGCTATTCTTCAATCAATAAAGTATCAGTTTACAAGCCTAAACAATTAAATTAGTATGTCCAACTTAACACACATTTAAAATAGTTCCATGTTGTCACATTGTTTCACATGTGCATTTTTTCCCATTTAATCTGTTTGTACGTCAACACTTGCTCTACTTTAAAGTTCTTCTCTACAGAGGTGAAAAACCATTGCACGTGAGCCAGTTTCAACTGAATTTCTTGTCTCGTTTCAACCCTTCCATGTATTATACAAGTGTTCAAACTGTTGTTTTGGAAGATCAGCCTGCAGCTCTCATTTACCTTTTGCTGTGTCATAGATTCCAAAGTAGGCAGCTCTATAGATGATAATACCCTGGACAGAGACATTGAAGCCTTGGTATAAGCCACGCAGGCCATCAGATCTGAAGATTTTGACTAGACAGTCCCCCAGGCCTGTGAATTCTCTGTCAGCACCAGCTTTTCCAACATCAGCAGCCAGACGGGTTCTTGCAAAATCCAAAGGGTAGACAAAGCAAAGGGAGGTAGCTCCAGCTGCACCACCAGAGGCTAGGTTACCAGCAAAATACCTCCAGAATTGTGTGTGCTTGTCTACTCCTCCTAAAAATATTTGCTTATACTTATCCTTGAAGGCAAAGTTGAGAGCCTGGGTTGGGAAGTATCTGATGACATTGGCTAAATTGCCACGCCAGAAGGATAGGATTCCTTGCTCTTTAGGAATGCGAACTACACAATCAATGATTCCTTTGTACTGTTTGTCAGCAGCAATCTGTTTGCTTGCATGTTGTACCTGTAAGAAAAATGTGTTCATGGTTACTTTAAGTGAAAACTTTTAATGAGCCGAATAAATATAAATTCTGTTAATGGTTGGGCCTTATTCTTTCCACTTCACTATCAAGTATACCTTTTAAAGACCTGAAGTCACATTTTACATCTGAAAGCTAGAAAAATGAAAATATATTACAAGCAGTATGAAAAACAAACAAAAAAACTACCTGAGACTTTGCTTTAACTTGGGAATATTTTCTGTGAAAATAAAATAAAGGATGTTCAGATGTTTCAACTTGGGTGACTTTGAGAATATAATCAGCTGTTTCAACCTTTTAAAGAGGGTTTGGAACCAAGTTATTTTGTCCCATATATAATTATTCATGTCTTAACATCAGCAGGAGCCCCGCCAAAAGAAGTGAAGCTGCTGGCTTCTCCCAAAGCACCCCAGTCATGGAACCAAGCCCCCAGAGGGGTTTGTTTAGCATCTACATTGTGGTATTGTCAGCACAAGGTGAAGAACACCATTGTTTTTAAACTTATTATTGCATTTTTCAATCTATATACCGTTACTGGTTTTTTCTTAGGTTTTATGTTGTAGATCTAAACTTATATAAACTGTTTTATTGCACTGCAATAAACTGCAACTGTGCTGCAATTGTCATGAACTGTCAGAGAACGTTATCCATTGGGAGTATAGGTGTTTAATAAAAGAATAAATAAATTAGGTCGAGAAATATTTAAGTTGACTCGCGAGTGAGGCCACAGGCTCACAAGTGAAAAGTTGCAAGGGCTCGATATGCGCCTCTCTCTGACTGGGACGAGGGAACAGTCCGCGAAAGCCTAAAAAATCGATGCTGGGGCAGGCGTGCTCTGCCTCCCGGCGCGGAAGATTTCAGTGCTGTTAAACGAGCGCCCAACTGAATGCAGTCGCCCAGGGGAAGAGGTCGGCCGAGGGCCACAGCAGCGCCGGCAAGTCACCTCGCTTGCTCCACAAAGGTCACGTCTATCCGAATCTCGCGAGACAGGAGAAGAGAGAGGCGGAACCATCCCGCCTCCTTCCCAGCCTGGCTGGGCCATACGTCCACCGCCGCGCCAATCAGGGACACGTCGCCGGAAGGAAGATGGCGGCCACCTCCCCGCTTCGACCTCCTTGTGCTCCCGCCCTCGCTCGCTCCTCCCGACTCGAAGGAGACATAGCGGGAAGAACGGAAAGGAGGAAGGAGCGCGCCCGAGTGAGGCGGTCCCTGCTTTTGTCTCGGCCCCACCACGCACAGTTGAACCGCCACCTGACTGTCGGGCCCCATCCCCCCCGCGTCCCAACGGACGTCCTGTAACGGAGCCCGTCTGACAGGAGCCCCGCGTGCGCGCCGCACCCAGACAGGAAGAGCGTTGGCGCCGCCGATCTCCATTGTCCCTGCGGTGGGAGCCGCGCGAAGGCGCCTCAGGGACGTGGATGATCCCACGCGTGCGGGCAGGTGGAGAGAGAGATAAGCCGAGAGAAAGGGAAAGCAGAGATCCCAACCCTCACCCGCGCCGAGCCACCCCACTTCTAATTTTACGCGACGCGCGGCTGCCGGGCCCGACCTGAAGCAACAGCTTGACTCGTTCAATGGGCGCCACCGCCGTCTTGCTGATCGCCGCTGCCACGCCGCCTGCCAGGAAGTCCTTGGCGAAGGAGATGGCCTGCTCTGCCATGGTAGCGTTTGGTCCGGAACCGCCGGCTGGCACTGAGGGGGAGGGGCTGGGATCCGAGGCGTTGCGGACGCTACCGCTGCCGCTCAAGACACCGAAAGGGAAGGTCCGCCTCGGCTCCGGAGCTAAATGGCCGGCGCGGGAGGCTCCGCCCGCGGGGCGCCATTGGTAGGGAAAGCGCAAAGAGGAGGTCTTTTCTGGGGACGTTTCGCTGGGGAGGAAGCGAGGCGTGTGCTGCTCGCACGCGGGCTTCCATCCCACCTCGCCTCCACGGCTGCTCTGTAAGGCTGCTGTCCGCACCGTCCCGTAGTAAGGCGCCTTGGGGTGAATGGTTAACTGTCGGGCTGCGATTCCGCACGCGTTTGCCTGCTCGTACGCAGTGGGAGTTACAATTCCATTTTACGCATGTGTATTTAGAAGTGGGTGGTTCCACTGAGTTCAACGCAAACTATTCCTGATAAAGCAAGCGTAGAGCTGCAGCCTTATCAATGGGTGCTTTATTACGGGGAAAGGTTGGGGTGGGACCACTTGATGCGATGCATATTTGCTCGGAAATAAGGTTTGCTGAGTACATCAGGGCTTGTTCCGACCGTCACCGGTTTCCCAGATCTACAAATACAGGTACTACTCGAAATGATTGCATGGGATCATTCCGAATGGCATAGGTTTACAAGAATCAGTTTTGAGTTTTATGAATTCAATCATTGCTCCTGTGATAGTAATTCTATCCTGTCTTGTGGTAAACTGAGCAAAAAAGATACACTGTCCTAAATTGGAATGAAGATTATGCCTTTTTGCCTAAATTGGAATGGTATAAAATTAGTTCTATACAACTTTCTGATTGCTAGAAAGATGTCTTACATTCCCAGGGTCAGTAGGATCTCTAAGTAAACGTGGGCACATATTGTTGCTACTAATGTACTTGTATAATATGTTGCCACTTAAGGGCAACACTGCTTGGGCAACAGGAAGAATACAATGTTATCACTTAGGAAGTGCTGCTTCCTAATTTATAAAACATCAGGGCATAAAACATTACTGTGAATACTTGGCTTTTTTCTTTGCATTTCATGTGAACTGCAGCTATTTAATTGATCTATAACTTTCCCCCCAGTTAGGGTGATAGCTTAAGTTCTTGTGTTTCTCATCTTTGACGTTTCTCTCATTAATTTATTTGCAGTGCAATCCTTAACATACAGTTTCTGTTTATGCAGAAAGGTCTGCTGAATTCAATAGGGCAAGCATCTGACAATTTCACTTCCAGCCCCTTGACATAGCAGACTGTGGTGAATGACATAAGTCGGTGGCCTCTTCTGAATTTGCTATAACAGCCTTCCACCTCCCTTCAAGTTCTGGGGTCCAGAGGCAGAGACTCCATGATCAGAGTGTCCTTTCAGTGCAGAGACAGAAATCTATCCCAAAACACCAGCTCAGTTCCAAGCTTACAGGTCAAGAGAAAAGCAGGTGAAATTCACCAACCTGCAACAATTTAGAGATGTAGCAGGTCAGGGGCAAGACCTTGCCTTTTGTGGGTGGGGAAACCAGCTGGTTGTCCAGCAGTAGTAAAAGTATTAAACAGTAGTCAGACATCCCAACTTCTTAAATTTCAGTAATGCATATACAAAGATATGCTAACAGGCCTTTTACAAAATCTACAGTGTTAGAAAAGAACTATCTGGGCCTGGAGAGCAGAAAGGAAAAAAAAACGACTCTGGCTTCAACCTTTAGCAGATGTTCATTTGGAAAGGGCATTCATGCCTTTCCAGTAACTTTAGGGCAAAAAGGGATTTCGCAGGGCAACTGAAGTGCAGCAACTCCCCTCTATGGAAAAAAATAGAGTAACTGAGACTATTTAAGTTTAGAGAAAAGGTGCGAGATGCATGACAGAACTAAAATCATGTCTGATGTGAAGAAAGTAGATAGGGAGATAGTTTTCTCTATTTTCTGAAATACTAGAAGCTGGCATCATTTTGTGAAGCTGAATGATGGGAAATTCAGAACAGATTTTGAGGTCCTTCTTTGCACAACAGTATAATTGATATATGGAATCAGCTACCACAAAATGTACTGACAACTTCCAATACCTTAAAATGGAAAAAAAATCATGGAAGATATCAATGTCTGCTAATCCTGTTGGCAATATGCTACCTCGAGTGTACATGAGCTGCAGGATGCTGTACTTGTGAGTTGCCCAGAGGCAGCCTGTTGGTCAATGTGTGAGCAGTATACTGGACTAATGGTCAGAACCAGCATGACTTTTCCTTTGTTCTTGAGAAGACTTGTCTGGCCCATTCATTGGGCAGAGAAGGAGCAGCAGCAGGGACCTTACTTTTTCTATCTTTGCTGGAAATATGCAGGTTAGTTCTGAGTCAGTTTCAATCTCCTGTTTTCCTGAGTCTGCAGAAATGAATTCCATTGGCCAAAGGAACAAGAGCCACCAATTGCTATCAGTGCAAGAATGCCAGCAAGGGTAGTGCACCCTGATCAGAAATGGATTATAAATGCCTACTTAGGCCTCAATGCTGTTTTACTTTCCCTTCCATTGCTTTCTCTTCCAGTCTCCTTGCTTGAGTTTTTAGTATATATGACTGAGAGCAGGGCCTGTATCTCTTTTCTTACAGATATAAATTTCTTTGGGAGACTCTTGTTTGAAAAGCAGATATTATACAATAAGTAATAAACATTAGAGAATAGTTCTGATAAAATTCTGACTGGTTGTATTATACATGAACAGAACAAATATGGGCATTTTAAATAGAAGATAGGGACTGAGAGAAACCAACAGTATCTGAAGAAAATCCTATTCAAAAAGTTCATCTATGTTGTGTTTTGTCCAGATAGGAATACAGTCAAATAGACAATGAATGCATAACAGCCAAAGAGCTACAGATATTTGGTGGAAGACATCAAAGTAGGAACAGAATGCAGAACTAGACAGGTCTTTAGTCTGCTCTGCTTTAACTTTGCTTCTTACGGTTATAAATTTTGTTTGTGAACTTGGAATAGGGATGATTATGAGATCGGGGTGGTCCAACTGACATTAATGTCTCTGTCTCCACACACACACACACCCCTTGCATGTTGCAACAGCCCAGCTTTGTTATAAGATGGTTTTTATGCCTTCTCCAAGTTGGTGTGGCTTGGTGAAAGGAAAAAATGGCATGAAAACCATCCTCTAGATTCAACAAGGCTTGGGCTGCAGGTTGTGACCTTGTACTTGAAAGCCAGGGCAATACTTCTGCCCATCAAACCCCAGCAATGGGCTGCACAGTAATTGCAGGTTTCCTCAGTATACAAGCACTATAATTGTGAGATTTAATAGCAGTGCTCTCAGTCTAATCAGACTGCTTTAATTTGAAGTCACAAGAACTATAACAAGATTTTGTTTGTTTGCTCTTTGCATGTCTATGCAAACAGGGTTTCACAGGAATAAAACAATTAAACTTCTCTTTGCACTATATGAAACACAACCAATTTTACATAATTTACAATATAAATATGGACATAAAACAGAAAGATAGCAGTGGTATCTCTTTTGTTGTCAGTCTTCTATGTGGTATAAAATGGATTATTACTTGATGCTGCAGTGCATCATATGACTACTTTAAAAAATTGGATTAAAATGTCTCATGATCAGTAATAGCAGCTTTCAGTATTATTTCTCTCTGTGCCATTTGGAAGACTCATGTACGTTAAACTTATGCTTCAAAATATCAGGATTAGGCTAAACTAGTTCAGGGGTTCCCAACAATGTATCTTAAATGCACCTGTGAAGACCTCCAGTAGTGCCTATGAAGCTTTCTACTCCCCTGGGAAATTAATTAAAAACAAACAAGAATGATAGTGCATTGGTTCCTTCTTCCTGTTTTTGAAACTACCATTGATCACTTCTCTGATAAAGCAGGTGCAGAGCTTCAGGGTTCTCTGGGAGTCATCATTCTCACTGGAGGCTTAGATGACCTCTGAGGCATGGATTATCTTCTACCATTTTTGGCTGGACGGAGATAACCTGGTCTGAGTAGTCTATGCTGTAGATCACTAGAATACTGATTCTTGTTTATATTACTACAATTATTTTGCATAGGGCTGGCTTTGAAGAGAGTCTGGAAGCTGCAGCTTGTGCAAATTGTTGCAGCCAGATTGATAGTGGTGGCCAGAAATGCAAACATATAATACCAGTTATGGCTTGCCTGCACTGGCTCCTTGTATCTTCTTGAGGCCAAGTCAAGGTAGTTGTTTTGATCTATAAAGCTTTATATGCAGCTTGGTGCCTGAATCTGTCTAACACTATAACCAGGGGTGGCTGGTCAGTCCAAATAGTGGACAGGCTCTAAGTAGTACAGCCAAAGTTCATGAGGCAAAGCAATATTTAAATTAGCCACAGAAATAGAAAACTGAGGCACAAAACATGCCAAGGGGAAACCACCCATCCATACAAAAATACTTTTTGGAACACATTGTCCTATTCCAGCAACAACTCCCATTCCACAGAGAATTGCTTGACTCTAAGATGATGTGTGGGAGTAAGACTCCATATAGCCATAAAAACAATGGTAATAATTAAAATAAGGCTTTGGGGCACACAGAAAAGCAGCCTTTGGAACACAGGAACAAGTTCTGACAACATCCAAAAATCTATGCTTTGTATCTCCATCACAGTGAATCCACCAGAGTAGGTCTGCTCAGAAGCTGAAACTATAAAATGCCAGATTATGCATATCTTGTAAGAAGCAAGCACTGGATTTCTTAGGAGAAAGAACAGCCATCATTTTTCAACTAATAATAGGAAGTCTGGAAGTATCCTTTGCAAAAACATAGACCCCCCCCTTTCACCCTCCCATCCTGTCACACAGCCAAATCATACACATAAGCTACCAACATAATAAAAAAATGCTAGCGATAATAATTCAAATAAGACACAAGAGTACACAGAAAAGCAGCCTTGGGAACACACAAGCATACGCAAAGGCCACATCATATACACATACACTAGACCAAGTATACGTCTCACAGATTAGATGACTGCAGGTGGCGCAGTGGTTTAAACTGCTGTGCTGCTGGGCTGGTTGATCGAAAGGTCGCCGGTTTGAATCTGTACAACGGGTTGAGTTCCTGTTGTTCCATCCCAGCTCCTGCCAACCTTGCAGTTCGAAAGCATGCAAATCCAAGTAGATAAAAAGGTACCATTTCGGTGGGCAGGTAACAGAGTTCCGTGCGCTTCGGTGTTTACTCATGCTGGCCACATGACCACAGAGACTGTCTGCGGACAAACACTGGCTCCCTCAGCTAGGAAACAGAGATGAGCACTGCCCTCTAGAGTCAGGTATGACTGGACTTCACGTCAAGGGGAAACCTTACCACACACTAGACAATACACATATACACATGCCTTAAAAGATTAAAGAACAACATGCCACTGAAACTAGAGAAAGAGCTGCTGCTCTTCTTGTGAAGGAACTACATGGGCATTCTGCAGCTGTGCTGGCTCCTGGGTGCCTCCACTTTATGCAGAAGACCCAGAGAGAAGGCTTCTCTGATTAGTCAGTGCAGGCTAACAACCTGAGCTGAGCTTGTTGATTTGTGGTGCTTCCCTTCCAAAGATAGCATTCTAGGGAAAGGCACTGTAGCAGTTATCAGCATTCTGAGTATGTATACAAGTTTGCATGTGCACAGTTATGTATATGAAGCTGCTGCCCTGGTAGGAGGACTTCCTGCCCTAGTACAGCAGTAACAGCAATTGGCTGCTGTGAAGAAGCCATGGTAGATTGGGAAAGAACTGTTTATTTTAGAAAGTTGAAAGAAAACACATACAGTGCCTCATGCACTGTTTAATTGGAGCCACCACTGCCTATGATCAACATCTTAGACCCTCTAAGAGAAATTTAGAGGATGGAAGGAAGGGAGAGGTCTTCCATTTATTTTTTACTTTGGAGCACTAAATAGTTTCAGCCAAGGATATCCAAAGGAATACCACCTTTCCTATGCTCTTTGATAGCCAGAGAATACCATGCATACTTCCTTCACTCATGAAGTTTATGATGATAGCAACCAACTTAGATGGCATTAAAAGGGATTAAACTGATAGCTTTAATCAGTTTCTCCTCCCTGGTGTCCTGCAAATGCTCTGGGCATGAGATAGCAGAATCCTGAGCATCAGCTATGCTGTCTGAGGTTAATAGGAACTGATGTCCAAAACTTCAAAGAAAATTTGGTTAGGAAACATTTGATTAATTCATAGATGACAATGCTATCAATGGCTGCTAGGCATGAAAGCCCTATGTGACTTCCAGGATCAGAGATATTATGCCTGAATACTAGTCCTTGAAGAACAATAGCAGGTGAAAGCTGTTTTCCCCAAGTCCTCCTTGTGGGCTTTTCATGGGTATTTGATTTGTAACAGTGAGAACAGAATGCTGGACTACATGGATCTTTGGACAGATCTGGCACAGCTCTTATGTTCTTATGCAATCTAATGTCAGTTTTAGGATAAATTTTCCATGGTTGAAATGGAAATGGAATGGTTACAATGTAATATTTTCCTCTGTAGTCCTTTTAGGACCTTTGCCCTGCTCCTTGCATGAAAGATGAGGAAACAATGCAACTGCTTTGTATTTGCAGTTTCAAGATTAACTCAAGAAAATGAGCTCTGCCAAATTATGCTACTTAACATTTACCCTGCTGGTAGAGACTTTGGAAATAGCTGTAGTCAGTTTTGAATACCACCCCGCTCTCTCTCATTAGAGATGAGAGGATAAAATATCCTGTCAATGGTTGTCCAGGCATGACGGCAGGGAGATGAGCCACAGATCAAAGCAAAAACTGAACTTGTGTGCCAAAAGGTAAAACAAAGTAAGCTACCAACCAAATTTATAAATTATGAGCAGAAAATTATATTTAAAAACTGACAGAATCACAGAATTTGTGATAGGTGGTCTTGCAAAACTAGGAAGCCCACACTGTTTTAACAAAATGTGATTTCTATATACTACTCCCTTGTACGTGTAAGAAATTCAATCAAATGTTATCAGGATGGAAGATATCAAAAAGGTATGTGTCCTTTGTAAGAAACAAACAGAACAACAAGGGGAAAGGAAAACAGATGGAAGGAAATGGAACCAATATATCTGGCACTCATAATACATTCCCCCATTGTGTAAGAGGTGAATATTTATGCTGCATAATTATAGGATATGTAGAAATGGCACACATGCTTGCACTCTCTTAAACAGTTAATATACTGTTTAGTTGGTATGAACCTCCAGTTTTCACTTTCCCTGGGAGTTAGCCAACAATTTTTTCTTTTTCTTTTAAGTAAATCCTTCGCCCTTTCTCTAAATTTCTTGAAGAATGAAAGAAATGATGAAAACTGTAATTATTTTGCCCATTCACTGTGAGTAACTATCATGCTCCCACCTTTTGGTGTTTTTAGGCAATGAGTTACATAAGTTGTGTCAATGGGTAACTTACCCATATTTGGTTCACTGCTCAGAAGCAAATGCAACCTCATATTTTTTAAAAAAGTAGAAATCCAGGAGTTTCCTATAGCTGAGTTTAGGCAGCAGTGCATCTACTAAAAATTACAAAAATCAAAACAAAACAAAACAAAAACAGGAATGAATTAACTCTTAACTCAGCTCTTGTTAATGTTTTCCCCTGAATTCAGAGACATTAGTTAGATCTCCAGAAATCATAGGCCTGTTGTAACAGAAAAGTCTTTAGAGCAACGCAAAACAGAAAGAACATGTATCAGTTTTGACTGACGGGTAACACTGTGTTAAAAATTACTTAACTTATGTTCTATCCAGTTGAATGGACAGTCATTAAGATTATCTACAGAAGGCATTTATTGTAGTCATATTTCTTTACTCACAGTAACTTGTAGGGCATTGTGTATTGCTATCTTCCAGGGCCTCTCCCATGTTTGCAAACGTTTTCACACAATTTTTTGGAATGAAAGAAATCAGCTGCCTTTTCACAACCATGCTAAAACAAGCCCATTTATTTTGGTAATTGCACTATAATGCAGTGCTGCCTAAAGCTGTGCAACAACATATAGAAAAGCAGATTTTTAAAAAATGTTAAAAACCCACTAGTAAAGGATGTACTCTTATTCCCACAAAAGAAAACAGACGGAGAAAGAAGCTTTAGTGAAGCACTGGATTAAGCACCTCATACAGAGAAGTCCGTTCCCTTAAAACACAAAATTACATCTAATAGGTTTCCTGTTATTTTAATCTGCACATTGATGAACCCATGTTTCTCCAATAACTGCTGGTACTCCAAACTACTTCTTTGCTTGCCTTCTGTCATACTGAGGGACTGTAAAACAGCTCTAGCAGGGTTTGTTCGCTTCTCATCCAGCACAGTTTCTGCTATTAGCAAAGCACCTCCTATATTTCCAAAGAAGGGAAAAATAGAAACACAAAAATAAAAAATGCTTTAGTTTTTTTCCTAACTTTGAGTTAATGTTTTATTTATTTTATTATTATTTTAGGTAGCTTTTGCATGGTCAGATTTGTTAATCCCCCCCTTCAGTTTTTTCACCTTGAACTTGCAGGGGATTTAGGGCCATTTTTCACCTTTAGAAAAACAGACACACAAAAATTGAAGTCATTTTTAATTATTATTTTAAACAAAACCAGAAGTACCTATTCAGGATTGGGATGGCAGAGTGCAGAGGAAGAGTATTTAACTTTTTATCCACAACAATGGCCACTGCCTTCCCAAGCCACATAACTTAATGCTTCTAATTTTGATCATGAATGTGAAGTGTGTGTCGTGGGGGAGGGAGGTAAAATTAAATCCCTCTCCCTGCACACTGCTGTCTTGATTCAGATTCTCCTAAGGCTAAATTATTCTTATTTTGTGCGGTAAATCGTAAAACAGCTGTGGGTAAAGCTGCAACAGATTAGAAGGAAAACTGCCATTGGTGTGAGGGAAAGCATAGCTCTCTAGTACCTCCATGCTAGGATTCTGGCCTTAATCAGGCCTTTTCCAGTTGTAAAACAAGTCAGATAAAAGAACTGCATTAACATGCAGAGTGGTGCAGCTAGGATGGGACCTTGGAGCCAAGCTGCAGGGTCCATAGCTCATATCCTTAGAAAACAGAAATAGGTGAAGGGGAAGCTGCAAACAGGCCTGGCACTGCTACAACTTCCTTTTTATGTTTGTTTATAGTGCAGGGCAAGGGAAACCAGTTGGGTGCCTACATGATCATAGATTATATTTATTATCTTTCAAAAGATACTGACATTTTCTATAATGAAATGGAGTTTATTTCCTGGTAAACCTGTATAGCATCTTGACAACAGAAACAAATTCCATTTTATTCCTACAATCATGGAGATGTTGTAATCACAGTAAGTTTAAATGCAAACCATCATAAGCTTGATATACTGCTTTTGGAGTGTCAGTATATAAGCACTGGGACTGGGTGCTGACAGAAGAGAAACTAAAGTTACATGCTCAACAACTGGACTAACATAACATGGCCATTTAAAAGGAACCCCTGTCAGACCAGTAAGTTCAGGATCTAAGATTACTGATCTGTGCTATTGTATATGAATTCTGGGTGACATTTCATGTGCTCCTAAGATAGCATTTCCTCAAAATCAAGTAAATTCAAGCCTTTCAGAGAAGTCTCTCATTGAGCAGATAGTGCATCGTCATGGCACAATTGTTGCAGGGAAATTTTTATCTCATGAACACATTCATGGTGGGAAAACTGTCTGTGAAAAAATAATACTTTGATTTCTATTTGAAAGGCTATGGACAATTAGAAGTTGGACAATTAGAAGTTGATACATGAGACACTGCTGGCCCCCAGCACTGCATTCCTTCTTTGAGAGAATGTTGAGTTTAATGAGCTATTTTTTATTTAATAGAAAATACTTAATGCATTTTAAGATTACAAATACTAGGTATTATACTGTTCCAGTTCTTGAATAGACTTTTACTAACATTTACAAATAAAAACAATTGGAAGCACCATCATTGGCACCATCATTGACTCAGCTGTTTCCTCTTTTTCTACACAAAGCTGCAGGGCTATATGAACATTTTTCTTCTTTTTAAAATACTGGCTCCATATCTCCTTGCACCACTGCAGCATATGTCACAATGATCAGCATCGAAGCAGTGGGAGTAAGGAAAAGCTACAAATTAATAAGCCAGGCTATATTCAAGTGTTGTGCAGCTACACAAATTATATTTAAAGTCATAAATATTTTTCATTTCTTCAAGTATAACACAGCATATCATATTGTTCAGTAAACACCAAGAAAAAAGAGAAAAATAAAAACTCTTACCTGGCTTGCAAATAGTGAATATTTTGCTTAACAGTGTATGTAGCTTTTCCTCAGAACAGTGATGTACAACTCTTGAAAGAATATAAAGATCAGCTTCAGGAAGATTATCTTTGAAAAAATCACCTGTTTGAAAAAACATTTTTATTGGTTTTAAGAATTATGACTACTTTTTATCTCAGTACCTTTGTATGTACATTAATATCCTCAGCAAGTCAGTATTTAAAATTCCCAGTGCAGAGACATTTGGGAAAGGAAGAAAGAAGAAGGTTTCACCACTGCATTTTTATAAATTAGCAAGCAGCTATGTTTAATTATGCTGTTCACAGATCCCAAATAAAAAGGGAGTCAACTTGCATCAAAATCAATACTTGACATTTCATAAGTGATAATGTACATAATGTTTCTTCATCTTTATGTAGAAAAATAATCTTATGTTAAGCAGTGCAATATGTAAAAGAGTATACACTGTTAACACATATCCTTTCACCAGAATATTTGCAAAAAAAAAAAAAAAAAAGACTGCTCAGCCTCATGAGGATTAGACTCATTTGCATATACACAGATACTAACAGTCTACCAAGGATGAGGACAGTATTTTCTGCCAGAATCTGCATTACCTCTAACATGTTTGCGTCTGCATTCTACTAGTGGGAAGAGCCAAAGACCGTAAAATGGACCAAAGCCCACATGAAATGATGCTAAATTCCCAATGAGCACTTTGTCTGCCACTTCTCCATCCTTGCTTTCCAGGTTGCGCTATGCTTTACAGGTGTGCTTACCTGATATGAAGGATACTTGAGTACCATGTTGTCTTGAAGGCTGAAAGTTGGACACACTTGTGATGACATCCGGAAGATCAAGTACAGTGACTCTCATTTCTGGGTAGATGTGAACTAGCTCACAGGCTAAAGTTCCTGTGCAACCTGTAGAAAGCAAAGTATCAAGAGAGTGGAATTTCTATGAATTCAAATTCATTTAAAATATATAACTGGCATTTATCACTTAGGTTAATTTTTAACACTTTGCAAGGAACTTGCAGAAGCTGTGGAACTTTTCAGTGTATCCTTCAGAATGTACAAACCCAACCCATGCATTCGGTTTCTGGACAATGAGATTACCACAAAGAGGCCCTGAGCTGTTAGGCAGTTTTGAACAGTTCAGCTAACTGAACCAAAAACAAAATGAATATTAACTATACTAACCTTATGATTTCATCTGCTCTATCTGAAGTAAACTAAAAGGCTTATAAATTTTATAAGCAAATGTACTCAAAAGGAAACCAATTTATTTAGAAAACCATACAATTTAAAAACAAATTCTATGATGATTATGATTACATTTTCTATGAATTATTGCTGGAATCCTTACCTCCTAAATCACATACAGCTCTGAACTGTGAAAGATCAAAAGCTGTGCCTATATCTTTTGCTGTCAGTTTGGAAATGCAATGCATAGCACTCATAACACGCTGCTTCACTTCTGGAGTTTGGCAATAAAAATCCTTTTTAAAAAAGAAAGATAAAATAATTAGGGTAAACAGTTTATATAAAATGGAGATGTTTATAAGCCTAAAAATGATCGTATGGTTGGTTTTAATGCTGCAAATGAATTAACTAAGGGTTATAATTAGTTTAAAATATAATTCAAATATTTCAGACTATCTTGGAAGAAATCTCAGAGAACAGAAAAAGTCATCATGATGTTATAATGTCAGAACAGAGGGCTCACCACAGAATTTGCACTCTCCTAGACAGATTTTTTCCTAATACTGGCAAATTACTTGTGAGATCAAAACATCAAGAGAGAAAAAAAGTATCTCTGTGGCACATATATATGATTGCATGATCTTTCATACAAAACCCTCTTTCTCCAAAGAAAACTCAGCAGCAATGAGAATGGTTTTCCTTGACATACCAGTTTTGAATTTGGTTCCAGGGTAAGGTCTGAAAGCATATAAGGCGGCCCCCATACTGAAGCTAAACAGCATCGGTGCTTGGAGGGATGACTGTCTGGAACCATATGTTGCCATCTTGAATTCCACAATGGGAAAAAGGTGGGATATCAGTGTAATCAATCAATCAAATCTGAACTACCTGAAACAGGTTGCCCACTTTCTTCACAGATGCACAATGGTTTTGTGAGGTTCCATCCTTGACTGCCGCCTCCAAATGTGTATACAAGGGCCACATGTGCTCATTACAGTGAAGAATGTAGTCATGAAGTGAATATTCACTGTTTGATACTAGATACAAATTTGTCAGCTCTGCATTGCTGTAACCTTTAAAGACATAAAAAAAAAAAAAAGAATCCTGCAAAATGTTCTTCAAAGTACCATTTTTAATTAATTCATCTGAAATCCCTACCAATGGATAGGGATTCACAGCTCTGCTGTACAGATCAACCCACAGTTCTGGATACAGTTTAAACAAAAACAATATTTTTTATACTCAGTTTGAATATTTACTTGGCACCAAAGCATTCAGTGCAATGAAAGGCACTGCTGCTAAATACACTTACCAAAATAAGGCTTTAACAGCAGCACAGAAATGGGAAGCCTCCCATGCTTAAGCTACATGCTCTTCTCCCATAGGGCTGAGCACACTCATACAGGCCCAAGGGTTGGCCCAAGCTATTAGGAGGTCTGCATCAAAGATGCCAGGTCACCTCCTACTCAATGCTCCTAAGAAGCTAAGCATTACCTTAATGCTGCTATTTGCCCCTGAAAGTGTCCCTGAACCCAACTGTACATTTGGGGACAAAGGAGCAGCAGTGGGGGGAACATCATGGGGAGAAAGTTCAGTGTTTTTAATTCAGCTCATGCCCTTCCATCCCCATATGGCTGCTATTTAAAAAAAAGAAAAAGATGCAATGATCACACAAACAGATGATATATTTAATATTGTATCTACTTGGTCCCTAATTTATGCTTTCTCTTTAAGGCCATAGCAAACTCATCATCCTGGCAGTGAAGTTACTTTTGGCACATGTTCCCCCACCCCAATTATATGCGTCCATGCTCTAATGAACAATCCAATTGTTTCATGCGTTACCACAAGTTCTTCTTGTGACCCTCCTCCCTTAAGCAAAAGGTTACCTTGATGGCTCTTTTCCAAGAGGCCAAGAGAAGTGCAGGCATCAAGTAATCGTTCTGTACCACACACAGAGGTATTAAGTTGATTTGCAGCATCAGCTGTGGTCATGGTGCCTTTATCTTTGAGAAGATCGAATACCTTCAGCTTACAGGCCACAAACATAGCCTGCAGATAAGAAATGCACATATATTACTAAAAAGAACCCCCCCACCTTAAAGAAATCATGTTGATACATAAGCCATTTAGTCCTGCTAAGGTGCACTTTTAGAGGTTTTGCCCTTCTGGGACAGATAAGTTTACATGCACACTTCTTAGGTAAAATGTCTTGTTGATTCAAGGCAATTATGTCCAGCACAGAGTAGTCACATGAAAGCCAGCATCTGCGGAATTGTTTGTTTCTATTGATTTTCTTTCCGTTCTGCACTGTTACTTCTTTCACAGTTTGTCCTGGCCATCAGACGAAAGTTAAACTATGGTAATGATATTATACAGAAAACCATGCTTGGTCATCTCAGCAGAACCTGCCACCTGAATGCACTTCTGATTTCTTGATTGCTTAAAAGTCAACAGATACTCAACTCTTTTGAAAATATATCATTATGAACACTGAAAATATCCAAAACTGGTGTAGGTGCCAAGTACTCACAGACGCACATTGTTAAACAGATTTTTTAAAATAAAAGCATGTCTACTAGAAATACATTTTTCACAGCAACATGGCTGTGAGCAGAAGGCAGCAGGTAACCTGATTTATCTTTTGGTAGAAGCAACTTTTCAGCAGACACTGTGACAATGCTAGTAGCAAAGGAAGTCGGCTTATGCCAGGTCAATCTCTTTGTCCATCCAGCCCAAAACAGTCTGCTTGAACTAGCAGAGGCTACAGATTTACTTTATTTGATTCCAATGATACACAAAGGTTTAAAATAACAAAACTTTCTCTCCTACTAGAGTTTGGGTAAAAACACCAGGATGATTTGAGGTCTCTAGAACTCAGACAATTGCCTTTAAAATATGAACACATGTGTGAGATCCATATACAGTCCATTCCACATAGCAAAAGAAGAAAAGTTTTTACATATTTCTATATGAAAGAATGAAGAGTGTGTTACCTTTGATGCTTTGAAACCATCCAGAAGGTGCACAAGGGTAGGTGGAACATGTGCTGCATTTTCTGCTGCTACATTCTGACCTTCCACAGATACCCTGTGGTTGTGATTGCTATCTATGCGCTTTCCCAGGCTACTGATAACTCCATCACTGTTTAGCTTTTTAGCAACTTCCAACTGCACATTCTCTGAAGAGTCACCTTCTCCATCACTTAGGATCTCAAAGGTCTCTACTGAAGGAATTGAATCATACTTTAGATGATGAATGGTGTGCTTTGGGGGTGGGTAATACAATTCTGCTAACTTTTTGCAGAAATGATTCAAAGGAAACCCCACTACATTCAAGAAATCTCCATGAACATATTCCACTAACATTCCACCAAGCGCCTGGATTCCATATCCACCAGCTTTGTCCCTGAGAAAGTAAAAACAAAATAAAAACAAATACTCTGAATGACTGAGTATCATAATTTCAATTAATAGTTGTACTTTGTATTTAAAAAAAAAATCAACAGTTCGGTCAGAATCCAATAGCTACAAGGTCTACCTAGCCCAGTGGAATTCGTGTCTTTCTTGCTTTTTTTGAATAGTTGACCCCTTGGTTTCAGAAATAGTTCACCATGTGGCATATGTGGCAGCTGTTTAAAGCCCACTGAATTAGTGATGCAGTCCTTTGACTCTTGAGATGCAATTTATTAGAAATTTTGAACATATAAGACAGGACCCAAAACTAGACATTAAGAGGAAGGTTGCTCTGGAAAGCTGCAACCTCACACTTCTTTTCCTGGTCCCACAAGTTCAAGTAAAACTAGATAGCATCACCTATTAAGTCAAGACCTGCAGAGCACTTACAGCAGCAGACTGACCAGCATTTTGCTGCTAAGCAAACATGAAGTACTAGTTTGGGAATTTTGGTACATTACATTCCTGGACTAGTATTTCACATTTGCTTAACACATGTAATATTGGCATGTGGGCCCAGGGTACATACAGTGTACTTTCCTCACATGGCAAGCTTTCTAGCAGCATCCGATCTGTGTTCAAATTCTGTTACTATCTCTGAATGACTACTTACATTGGCTCACCACTGTGAATATATTCCCATAAGAGTTCTTCAGAAAGTTCAGAAAATTTAACTTTAGTTTCTTCATAGAAATCTGTTATATCGGTCTCCAGTTGATTATCTAGAAAATTATGAAACTGATTTGCAGTTTAGGTAAAAACTGATATATCAATAAAACCCCTAAGATGCAATTTATTAGAAATTTTGGACATATAAGACAGGAGCCAAAACTATACATTAAGAGGATGGTTGCTCTGGAAAGCCACAACCTTACACTTCTTTCCCTAGTCCCACAAGTTCAAGTAAAGCTAGATAGCATTGCCTATCAAGTCAAGACCTGCAGAGCACTTACAGCAGCAGACTGACCAGCATTTTATATGCATAATAGTGTGTCTTTCTGGGCAGAAAGCTCCAGGAGAAAGGATGGGTTGGTCCTTGGGAGTTGCCTTCTGAAGGACTACTGCCTCTGAAATAGCCCTTGAGAAGACATGTCTCAAGGGCTACCTTGCCTTTTTGTTCCTGGCACTTCCTCCCAAAACACCACCACATTTGAACCTAGGATACAACTGCAAAAAAAGACCAGCAATTCAAGGGCCAGGTGAGTTCCTCTCCACAAATGGGGTGCCTCCACTGAAAGAACCATTACTCTTGCAGCCAACTGCCTCACCTCAACTGATGATCTTAATATACATGTAGATAAAATGGGGGAAGACATTCCTTCAGAGAACCTGGCCAAAAGCCATTTAGGGCTCCGAAGATTAAAACTAGTATTTTGAGTTGGGCCTGGAAATAAAATGAAAGTGGAAAGTGAATACTAGATTTACTAATTTTATAATAAATAGCCTTCCTAATACTGGAGAGGCACTTGGGCCCAAGATATTGAGAAATGCTTGATTTTAACTTGACCTTCCAAGTCAAGAGTGTTCTGTCTCTGTTTAAAGGAAGGACTTTTCTTAAAGTCTTGAAGGTAGCACCAAAATACACCTGCAAGAAAGTCCAGTATAAATGATGGTGGAAGAGAAACATGTCACAAATACTATTTCAGAGTATCATCCTCTGCCTGTTAACCAAAATTTTCCTTAATACCAGCATAAATAGTTCAATAGGATTTACTTCTAACAGATGCTATAGGATTGCACTGTAAGAACCTACTGTATTTTGAACTGTTACAAAAGCATGCAGAAATGAAATATTTTCAGCAGAAGTGCTTGTGTGTTCAAAAAGTTATTAGAAAATATATTTCTAGATATGAGAAATGGGTTGCAATTGATGCTGGCAATAGTGCACCAAACAGTGCATCCAGATTTTCTTCCCATATTCTTTATTCTTCCATGATGCCCATAAACTTTGTATTATGGCTCCAACTCTAAGACTAGCCTCCCTGTGCGGCCTCTTTTCTTCTGCCTCACACATGTGTTGTATTTGAATTTTTGACCATTTCTACATTTGGTTATTTTGGTCTATGGCTACACAACATATGAATCTCAGAACTAGAATTGCCTTGGTTAACTCTTCCAGTCTGCCATTGCATGTAGGCTGTTGTCCTGCCTCTCAAGGTTTGAGGTTATTCAAACCTTGAGGTCATTCAAACCTAGCTATTGCAGTCATGTTACTTATCTCTTGAATAGGAGTTGCCAATATTTCATCAGCTCCAAAATGGATAAGGATCAAGGCCTATCCCAGCAATTCTGTTCATTTTACAGCAGAGTCCTCGAAAAACAAAGTTCTTTGCAGAATGAACACAGAGAGAGAATCACATTCCTGAAATGACCACACTCACTGAGACATTCAAGATACGCAAGCTGCAGAGCTAATGAGACTTTTGACTGGATGCAGACATTTATGTTAGTTACGTTAATTACCATTACTGCTGCAGTGGATGATTGCGACTCCAGTGAAAACACTGTGCTCCTTGCCATTCAACCTGGTAAGGTCAGATATAATTAGTTGACAGCCATTCTGCAACCAATATTAATATTTTAACGAATCTGACATTAATTTAGTCCTGTTCTGTATCCATCTTGGTCACTTGAAAATGGGCAAGTGAGCACTTGCATGTCACCAGAAAAAGCATATGAATATACATATTTATATATTTGTACATGCTTGTTCCATGAGCAATGCACACCATGTAGCTTATTTGTAGTGTGGATTGTCATTCTGTGCAAACTCAACCTATATGCTTTTGGGGTTACTGTTTTCCATCTGTAACAGAAGTGGTCCTTGCTTTGGAACATAAAAATAAAGACTTAATGAGAATTATATGGTTGACATATAACCAGTAAATAAGTAAAATACACACAAAATCAAGAGATACTAACTTTTCTAGGAAACCTAAATATATGATAGATAGCCAGGTCAGATTATGTCCCATTTAGTAATACTGAACAACTTAAAGACATTTGGTGATTTAATGAAAATTGTGACATGACTGCTGGAAAACAACCGGCGATTTATGTACAACTTTTTAAGCTTATATATCTATATGACAAACACAGATTTAGAAAGTAAACCACTGATTTCTTTGATATGAGGCTTGCATAATACATTGCATATATTTTTTATACTCTGGGAGTAACTGCACTGGAAAACTGGTTGTAATAGGCAACCTTAATGAAACTAAATGCATCCCATTTCTTAATGCATGCAAATGAAAAATGTATCAAAAGAATTTCTCATTTGTTTTCCATACCCACAAAGAACTAAAATAGAAATTGCACTGGAGATGGTTAGACCTGTGGATATTGGTATTTTAAATGATACTGATATTTTAAAATAATAAAATTATAAACCTTGAAAGCATCTTATAGGCATCTTGTTTGTCCACTGGTTTCTCCAAAATTTGTTTGTCTATTGTCTGAAATGGAAATATATACAGATTTGTACAAGGTATATGCACTTTTTTAGGGTGAAATTCATATCAAACTATAGGTTTTCCAAGAATCATAAGCATAGAAATTCTAATTAGTAGGCAAAAATAGGTCATCAAGAAGTCCTGACTGCAGGTAAAAACAACAGGTTTCCACCAAAATACTTACTATTTATTGATATTATCACTACATTAGGCGGAATAAAATTTAGTTTCAGTGCTTAAATAAAACATGAGACCTTCCAACCCACAAATCCCACATAAAGCATGCACTTTTGATAGCATGGGTGGCAAGGTTCATTCACTTGTCTGCCTGATAATCCTCTCTTCATGGTGGAGAGGACCTGTGTTCCTTTGCCATACCCATCATGACATGTGTGCTGTGGAAGCTCTACGCTAAGGGTGTTGAACCCCTTTCAGTTTATCAGAATCCCACAATCTTAAAACAGAGCATCAAAGTGTAAAAAGGTAGCATATGTGTATGCAAAGATCTCTTGTAAAATTACATTTACAGAGGAGTAACTCAGTTTTGAAGAGAAAAAAGAGTCCTCTGGCCAGTTAAAGACTGTGGCCATGTTCACATGTAACAGCTGCCCATAGATTTAGCAAATCTGAGTAGTCATGAACTAGTAGAAAGCAGCAAGTATGTTGCTTCTGTCCATCTGCCCTGATCCACTAATGTAAACCATACAGGGGTGCTCTGTCCCTGACTTGTTCATTATGATTTCTGAACTTCTCACATAAATATGACTAGATGAAGAGACAGCCATGCAGAAAAGCCTAAGACTGGACTGTTTGTACATGACAGTAGAAAGGCATATTAACTGAAAGATGGTCTGCCAGATCTAACTTCAATTGTGCAATTAAGGTACAGATAAAACAGAAAGTAGATGAAGTTATCAGTTCCTAGTATATATCATTAACTCACCACTATAGTGTCAGCTCCTATAACAACATCTGGCGTTTTAAGATGTTTCTGAAAAATATTTTTTAAAAAAAATCATCAATTTTCCACCTTAACAACAACCCTTCAGTAGCCTCGGAATGTTCTCCATGAAACTGCTCCCTAGTAGACAAAGAGGAGGTGTATTAACACAGCAGAAGCCACCTTGAATTCATTGTCTACACCAGCTTTCTCCAGTCTAGAACCCTCCATATGCTTTGAATTTCAACTCCTAGCAATCCTGTCTACTGGCCTTATTGGCTGTGGTTGATAAGTGTTGAAGCCCAATACATCTGGCAGGCACCAGGATGGGAAGGCTGTTGTAGGCTATGAACAGATGTAAGGTCCTAAGCAGGAGTGGAAAGAGCAGATCTTATTGTTCACCTTTGCCCCCAAAAAGTCCCAAGTCAGCCTTTTAACATCCAAGCTAAATTTACTTAATGGTAATTAATGGACTGAATGCCTAATTAAAAGTAAACCAAATCAGGCTTCACCCAAACCAATATATTTGAAATGGTGTGCCCACCAAACTGATTTGAAATGTATGACTATTGCAAGATAGGCATCTTAACTGACCGCAGAAATACGACTGCAGAAAGATACGACGGGACTAACACCCAGCAGTTGTTCTAGTGCATCTGCTTGCACAACCCATGTTGTGAAAACTCAAAATGACCTTAATGCCATACAGCACCCTGCTGCATATGTGATCATTCTTAAATACTGATGTAGCTACACAGCTGGCTGTTGCTAAGCCAACACCAACTTTGGCTTAACTTCTAGCCTTGCTGCCATTTCTCTAGATTTTCAACTGACAATTGAGATCATCTCCTTCGTCACATTGCTTGTATGCCTACTTGCTTTTACTGTCTGTTACTCCCACACACATACTTTTTGTATCACATTCCTATCATAAAATCCCTCCAATGACCTCAAGGCAGAAGATAACAAATTATCCCATGTTCCCCACAACAACCCCACATACGCTTGGACCTTGTGAAATGCTCCACATTGCTTCATGCTTGAGTTTGACTCTGAATCCAAGTTTCCTTCTCCAAATGATCCATGTGCCCTCTGTTCTCCACCCAACAAAGCCAGACAATTGTATAATTCGAAATAATAAATTGTGGCAACAGTGGACAAGGCCTTGCTCAGCCTACAAAGCAGGGACATGAGAGCAGAACTGAGCACCCACTGATTAGAGCAGAGACGTGCCATCTAGATGGACATCAACAATGGGTTTCCCACCAAAAAGGCTCCCTATGTTATCTAGTTAGCAGTTGCAAAAACAGCATCATAGAAAAAAGCATAGGGTGGCTTCTATATCAATGCATATACTATCTGAAATTCTTGACATGCATATAATTAAAGGCAAAGCACAATAGTTCAAATAATTTATAAGTATTTCATTAGACAATAGAGGTAAACAACTTACTATATGCATTCTTTTTGCCACTTCAAGTGCCTTTTGTTTTGCAGTTTCTACAGCATATTCATAAGGAGCTGCAAAAGACGACTTCTCAAGGGTCTCTTTGAACCAGGAGGGAACAACTTCAAATCGGAGACCCTGTTAAGAGACAGACAAACCAAGTGACTTCAGGAAGAAAGAAAGTCTTTTAAGGCTCATTTATTGGCAGGAGGCTTTAAACAAAAAATATCCTGGCATCTTGATACTGTTGTATCCAATCCTAATTAGCTGGTATTGTTGTATCCGATAATTATTTTCAGTATGGATCCCATCTGGTCAAAATGGTACAATCACAACAGGCTTAGAGAAATCCCAAGATGTGCAGGCATATGAAGTTAGGAGAGGAAAAAACATCTTATGTTGTCTGAACACAGCTATACTAACAAGCCATGACTTGTTAACCTTGTCTCTTGTTCTTATAACCTTGTTCTCATGTCAGTTTTATTTAATTAGTTAATATTAGTATTAGTTAATATTACTGACTGGGTTTAATTTCTTGTAAACCTCCCAGAATCTATGGGAATGGGGCAGTATATAAATATTAAGATAAATAAATACAACCACAAGTAACTGATAAAGAAAAGTCATGGTCTGCTCTTGACTTGTGAATTGTAGGTTGTTCATCATAGTTTCTTATCCCAGCTTCACACAGACAACAAAATAACCCGAGTTTCAACAACAGCCCAAACCCAATTCATATTGACCTTTGCATGTGTGTTACCTTGTTTTCTGAATTGGCACTTCAAATAGATGAAGATTTGTGAGCTTTTTTCAGAAGGGTTATTCTTGGAGACTAGAGATGAAATAAATATCCTATGCCATCACTAGCACACACACAAAACAGGCTACCCAACTTTTTGCTTCCTAGGTAATATATAATTATAATACAAAAATCCACGAAAGGGAAGCTTGCAACAGGTTGGTCACAGCACTTCCAACTTCCTATTTCTAGGTTTGGACTCTGTCAAGAAACTGGTTTTCACTGACTGAGCTGATGTGCTATTTTTGTTTATCTGAGTTTTATGTCAGCTACAGTAAACATAATGCAAATGCCAATTATGTGGGATGAATTTTTTTCCAGTTCTTTATTTTTCTGCACGAAGTTTTCATTAGTTCATTAGCTAATAATGCCAGTTGTAAATTATAAATACAGTATTGGCTAGACAAGGCAGTTCAAAGTGGTAGATTAATGGCTGTTAACATATTGTTCTTTGATCTGCTAGCTGATTAGTATGTCAACAGTCTTCAGAACATTTGTTGTTCTTGTTGTTTACCTTGAATGGTACAGGAAGGACTTGTTTGCCTTTAAATGTTTACAAGTATTCAAATATTCTAATAAATTCTACATACTGTAAGATGTAAGCGCATTTTCCCTCAAATATTTCAGATCAAATACTTGTGGTGTATTGGGACAGAAAATTAACAAGGCAAACAGCTTTGCTGTTTACTAAATACAAAGATCACTCTAGCACATCAGAAAAAATCAAATGGAAACTGAAAAGTTCCTAATGCATTTTTGTTTCCAGAAAACCCACATTAGCAGAAATTAAACACATCCATATATGACAGGTCATACTATACTCCTCATTGCATCATTTATGTATTTTAGAATTAGGAAAGCCCTTTTGCACTGCATTCGTCATCTCTTGACAGGTATTAAAAAAAATGTTTCCAACTTAAACCTGAACAGCCTCTGCTGCCAGTCAGTGTCAACAATACTGAGCTAGATTTTATTTATTTTATGCCATATTTAATATTACACATATAGTATTTTCATAAAAACTCAAGATAGGTTACAGTAACAAAAAAAAACCCAACAATATGCAGCACTTGATTAAAATAGGATTAAGTCAGATATATATATTAAATCAACAATTAAATACTGGTTAAATAAAAAGAATTTGTTTTGGTGCCAAAGGGGAAAAAAAAATAGTCAGCACCAGGCAAACCTCCCTGGGGAGCATATTCCACAATCAAGGCGCCACTGCTGAGAAGGCCCTTCTCCTTGTAACAGCCCTTCTCACTTCCTTCAAGGAGGGCTCTTGGAGAAGGGCCTCCATAGAACAGTATACGTATGGGGCAGGTGTATCTTCTTATACCATGCAGGTGGGAAGCTTGGGAGAAGCTACCACTAGGGCATGATGAAAAACCTGAGTTTGTACTGACACTCTGAAGGAAGGTGGCACTTGTGATTTTGCCCACTTCTAGACCCAGGCTGATGGAACACCAGGATTGCTATCTGCAGGTAGGGGAGCAGCTCCAATATATCTGCTTTGGCATCTGGACATGTAACACACTTAGGCATGCATTACTGTTGCATGAGGGCTGACAACAGGCTCAGATTCAGCCCAGCTTGCCGCAACTCAAACTAATTGTTCTCTCCTGGTTTCCAACTTCAGGTTTGAATGAAAATGAACCATTTTCTTTTAAAGAAATTGCACAGGCAGGGACAGCATCTAGTCCATCCATCGCCCAATTTGGAGCCTTCCGGGTTTTTGGATGATAGTTCCCATAATTGTTTATTCTGAGGCTGATGAGATGCTCAGCAGATGTGCAAAGCACCAGCTTGGGGAAAGCTAGTCCATGCAAGCTGAACTAAGTGCGGTAAGGAGGTACAGGGTTAGGGTTAGGGAGACCATCTGTCCCTGCGCCTTGAAATAGCCCTGAGATTTCAATAGCTGCTGGACAAGCAGAAGTTCAACTGGTGCAGCAGAACTATCCCATGAACGGAACTGCTGATGCGACACGTTGCTGTGTCGCTATGTAGCAGTCGTACCAACTTTAAAAGTGGCAACCAGAAATGTTAAGCCGGCCTTCCCCAACACGGTGCCCTCCGGCTAGACTGAACTACAACTCCTAGCCAGATCTGGAAGGCGCCAGGTTGAGGGAAATAACCCCGCTGGTCCGCTAAGCTGAGCGCAGCAGCTCGGCAGGCGCAGGCGCGCCTCCAGCGCCGGGGCCTTTGCGCAGGGCCAGCTTGCACACTCACCACGTTGGTGAGAATCTCCTGCCTGCGTGGAGAGCCACTGGCCAGCACCACCCTCTTGTTGACCAGCTTCCCGATGACGGGGCTCAGCACCATGGCTGCTGCAAGACCCAAGAAGACGGCTCCTCCGCGAAGGACGGCTCCGGCGGAGCAGCGGCGGGCGGCGCATTTATCGCGGCGACACCAGCGCCACTCTGCCCCGCCTTCCCTTCCCGTCTCCCCTGCTCAGGTCCGCCCATCGGCGGGCAAGGGAAGCGAGCGCGCTCCCTGCTGTGCTCCGGAGAGAGGAGCAGGGAAAAGCTCCTCGCCGTTCTTACTTAGGCGCTCCAGCAGAGGCCGCGTTTGTAAATACAAAGATCACCTCCTGCCCACAGTGTCTTGGACCTGTGCAGGACAATGCAAATAAACGGAAAGATCCCCGCAGAGCAAAGCGCGCACGATCCAGGTTGGGAAATAATGACCGGAACACCTGCCATATTTGGGACTGGAGCATTGATCGTCACCCAGGGACAGAATGCCCGGAAGTGACCCAGGAGTATATAAATAAATAGTTCAGAGCCCTTACAAGCATTGCGGGGGGGGGGGAATCATGGCTGGAATCGCACAAAAAAATACGTTATTGAAAGGCAAACTTTCAATGGTGAGATCGAAAAACAAACGCTCTTTGAAGCTCCCAGTTTTCTGCTCCAACGAAACATCACAAAAAGGCAAACCAATTTCCTTAAGTTGCCTCTAAATGAAGTAGTCTAAAATTTATTCTCCCAAGTATTACTGCAGCAAAGTAAGAAAATTATCTCTCGATCATTTTCCCCTAAACGCAGCCCTACAACAAATCCCCTTACACTGTTAGCACGGGTACGCGTACACATACCGTCCTTTCATCATACAGACAATACACCCTCTTACTGGGATTTTTACCCACCTCCCTCCATTCAGTGAGGATTGGATCCAAAGCATATTGCTGGGGCTGCAGGAGGGGAAGGGAAATGTCTGTTGGATTTAGTCCAAGTTCCCCTTAGTTCAAATTACTGGTTATGCTGAAGATGTGCATTTATGCCTTCCCCTATAAACTGTGGAAAGAGTCAGAACAATACCATGCAATAGTAATCTCATCAGGTCTCCAGGTGATTTCCAGGGGCTTCTTTATAATTCCCAGCTGTTTAATTCTAACCACAAAATGGCTTTTCCTCACCTAAATTCAGCTGGTGATATGTGGGGTCTTGGAGGTAACCATGAGTAGAATTTGAAACTTGTTCTTGTACTGAAAACAAATTTCTGGGCTCGGAATATGTTCAGACATACACTCACCTTTTTTCCCAAGTGAAGGCGCTGGTTGGTGGATCCTGGGGTTTTAATAAAAGAATAAAGTTGATCCAACAAGCCTGACATCTGCCCATTCCTTATGCAGTGGTTAGGCTACTGTACTTGGATGGGGCTTATAAATGAGGGTGAATGGGAGGCCTTGGGAATATCCAGGTATCTCTTGATTTTCCCCATCTCACAGGGTTGTTGTGAAGATAAAATTGGCTTATGCCATGTATGCTGCTCCAAGCTCCTTGGACAGATGCAAATGGATTGAGTAACTTCTTAATCAAATAATTCCTGGAACAAAATCCAACAAGATTTCAGGTGTATACAGGCTGCATGATTATAGAAGAAACTGTATACAGTAGTATAGGAGTAGAACTGTAGAACTTATTGGCCATGAACTTCACTAGATGAGTTTGGACCAATTACTACATTTTAGTTTAACTTGCACAAACGGGTGGTGGCGGGACAACTCCAAGCACTCTTGGATGAAACTGATTATCTGGAACCATTTCAGTCCAGCTTCAGACCCGGGTATGGTACTGAATCTGCCTTGGTCGCCCTGTACGATGACCTGTGCAGGGAGAAGGACAGGGGGAGTGCGTCCCTGTTGGTTCTTCTGGACCTCTCAGCAGCTTTCGATACCATCGACCATGGTATCCTTCTGGATAGGCTTGTGGGATTGGGGGTCGGAGGCACTGCTTTGCAGTGGTTCCGCTCCTATCTCAACGGCTGATTCCAGAAGGTAGTGCTGGGGGCTATGGCTCTGCGCCATGGCAGCTATGCCATGGAGTACCACAGGGCTCCATTTTGTCCCCTTTGCTGTTTAACATCTACATGAAACCTCTGGGAGAGGTCATCAGGAGGTGTGGACTGCGGAATCATCAGTACGCTGATGATACCCAGCTCTACCTCTCGTTTTCCACTAATCCAGGTGAGGCAGTGGCTGTGCTGAACCGGTGCTTGGCCAAGGTAATGGGCTGGATGAGAGCCAATAAACTGAAGCTCAATCCAGACAAGACGGAGGTCCTGTTGGTTGGCGGATTGCGCTTCGAAGAGGGTGGATTTGACCTGGTCCTGAATGGGGTTGCACTCCCTCTTAGGGACAAGGTCCGCAGCTTAGGAGTACTCCTCGACCCAGAGCTTTCTTTGGAAGCTCAGGTGACAGCGGTGGCGAGGAGCGCTTTCCTTCAGCTTCGGCTGATTAATCAGCTGTGCCCCTACCTGGAGTACGACTGCCTGGCGACGGTGACACACGCGCTGGTGACTTCCCGCCTTGACTTCTGTAACGCGCTTTACTTGGGGCTTCCCTTGGAGACGGTCCAGATACTTCAATTGGTTCAAAATAGAGCTGCCAGGTTGCTGACGGGGACGGGGCATTATGTTCACATGACTCCAGTCCTCCGTCAGCTTCACTGGCTTCCCATTGAAGTCCGGGCACAATTCAAGATGTTGGTTATGACCTATAAAGCCTTAAACGGCTTGGGTCTTGGTTACCTGAAGGAGCGCTTACATCCATATATGCCCGACCGCCCCTTGAGATCTGCGGGAGAGGCCCTTCTTCGGGAACCCTCCATGAAAGAAATTAGGAGGGTAGGTACTCGGAGGAGGGCTTTCTCTGCGGTGGCGCCCAACCTATGGAATGCACTCCCCAGAGAGGTCCGCCTGGCGCCGTCGTTGTTTGTTTTTCGGCGCCAGGTGAAGACCTTTTTATTTAAACGTCATTTTAATTGTTAACAATATTTGCTTATTTATCTGGCCAGGGCGACTTCTTTTATATTTTATATTTTTTATTTATTTTATATTGTTAATTTTAATTTTATATTGTTATTTTTGTATTTTATTGTATTTTATTGTGTTGTAAGCCACCCCGAGGCTTCGGCAAGGGGCGGCATAGAAATGTTCTAATAAATAAATAAAATAAATAAACGACTGTAAGACTAAAACAGGAGTGAGGACTCTACCTTGATCTTTTTGGTGGAATATTTCTCTTTGCTAGAGAAATAATAAATAATAATACACTTTGCTAGAGAAAAGTTATATTTCTAGCAAAGTAAAAAGAAATCACAAGTATGCTTGCACTAAATGAGTTTGCTAGACTCTTTGTAGGAAAGTTCAAATATTCCTGGGTGAAGAGGCTAAAGAATGTTTACTAAGCTAACATGGCTGTGTCATTATCACAGCTAATGACAGAAAATCATTACAGCTCCCTTGAACAAATTTTCAGAAACCAAAGGAAGAAAATGAGTAAGTTGATTGAGCTAGAGAACAATGACACCAGAAGTTATCAGCAAAGTTGCTACCTAGGCTAGTTGTTTGGGTCAAAGATCACTGTGTCCAAGGTTTAGTTTTGAAACTGTTGGCTTTTACAAATGTGCACTGTAATTTTCACAGTATGGATTAGTGTCACAAGAGGGACAGATAAGCATTTTGCTTCACCATACCAGTAAAATTTATTTATTTATTAAAACATTTTTATGCTGCCCCATTCGCCGAAGCCTCGGGGCGGCTTACAACAATAAATTAAAATAACATTTTAAAATATATGTCTCCTGATACCTGTTTATCAGGTATCAAGTCATTCCTGCCAATAGCTGTGCATCACTGGAGCAAATTTTCAAGGACTGGGATTTTTGTTCATCCAGACAGCATTATCTGCAGCACAATTTCTGGACATAACAGGTGTGGTTAGACAGCAGATGCAGCTCAAAGGTCTGAAAATATATACCATTTTGAGGAATCTAAACAAACAAACAAAATACTGAATCTGTTCAAATTCATGGTTAGGATCTTAGTACTTGTTTTTCTTGTGTGCTTCCGAGTCATTTCCGAATTATGGCAACCTTATAAATGAAAGTTCTCCAAAATGTCCTATCCATGACAGTGATGTTCAGCTCTTGTAAATTCCAGGCTGTGACTTCTTTTATGGAGAGAATCCATCTCAGATCTGGTCTTCCTTTTCTACTTCTGCCTTCTCATTTGTCTAAAGATGGAAGATGGAAGCAATGGGAAAATCCGGGATGCTTACACATGAGATTGGAGATCATCTGGAGCCCATGCAAAATTTCCTTAACCAGGCAGGGTGATAGCACTTTAAAAGTGTCCTCTGGGAACATCCTTACTTGTGTGTGTGTGTTACTGAACCCATCAGGCCTTTCTTCCAGGTAAACACGAGCTGTAAGTATGAGCGCTAAATGCAGCCTGATATTATACATATTTATTTGAATTAAGCATTGAGAGCAGGTCAGGGCCGTCTTAACAGCATTATGGGCCCCGGGCAAAGCAGTGTACTGGGGCCCCTACGACAACTACAACTAGTGTTAATTTTGGAGGTTTTCCCATTTTCCAAGGGTTAACATACACAGATTAGTACGGGGCCCACGGACAAGTGCCCATCAGGCCCATGCGTTCAGACGGCCCTGGAGCAGGTCTCTCCCTCACCTCCTCCCTTTTCCCTATCCTTAGGCAAAATCTTAGAAGCAGGATCATAGAAGCATAGTCCTTTGTTGAGCTCTGCGGGTTGGAAACCACATGAAGCAAAGTAACCATCACTTTGATATGTGGAAGTGGCATCTGTCCATGTGAAGAGTTGATTCCAAATCGGAGCATTCCCTTCCTTCCCTCCTTTTCAGAAAGGACTTGACTCCACCCTTGAGGTGGCTCATGCTGCTTGAGGGCTAGGTGGCAAGGACGATGGATATTATTTCATTAGTCCACCCTCTTCGCCTGGTGTCTCTTGCAGGGCCTATGAACTCCCCCTTACTCCCTGTTCTCCTGCTCCAAGACATTTTACTTCCCATGCTCTTGCTCTGCTGAGTAATCTCACCTTGACCATGGTCCTCTGCTAATGGGCCTTGGCCATGAGCCCCTG